AGGCAACAGAAGAACCTCTAGATCTGTTCCTTTCAATTTTCAGTTCCTCTTCTCCCTCCCTCCCAGACCCCCAAAATCAAACTCCAAAATCAAGCAAAGACTCCCTTCTCATCTCATTTTTTTATATATATATCCAAATAAAAAATAAAATAAAATGAAATAGATAAAAAAAACTTGCTCCGTCAATCACTAATGAGCATGTGCTGTTTTTTCTGTATGGCTGTAGCGTGCAAGAGGTAGCGGCACCGGATTGGGCGCAGAGTGTAGAAGGCGCAGGCTCGGTGCAGCAGTACAGGGGTGCAGGCGGCAAGGGCTGGTTCGGTGCAGCAGCAAGGGGCGTAGGAGCGCATGATTGTGGGGCGCAGGAGTGCATGATTGCGCGCAGGAGTGCATGATTGCGCGCAGGCGTGCAGGGGAAGCGTAGAGGGCACGGGATCTGGGCGCAGAAAGCACAGTCAGGCGCAGAGCAGGGAGCAGGGGCGCAGGCGCAAGGCTCGGGCGTAGGAGCAGGGCGCAGAGGGGAGAGTACCGAGCAAGGCCGGGCGTAGGAGCAGGGGCGCTGGTTCGGGAGGGTGCCAATTCTGGAAGAAAAGGAGCAAGTTGGGGTGAGGAGGAAGAAGAAGGTTCTGGAGAGCAAAAGATTTAACTTTTTTTTTTTTTTTTTTAATCTGGTTAAATGGTTTTTTATTTTTTTTTATTTTTGTGAATTTGTTTGGGTTAAATGGGTTTTGGATAGTTGGTGGGCTTGGGTTTTTTGGGTTTTTGGGCTTTTGGGTTTGAGGTTTTAAATTGAAATGGGTTGGTGTTGGGTTGGATTTGGTTTTAATGGGCTAGATTTATAGTTTAAAGGATTTCATCCCTCAACTTTTGATTTCTTCAATTGAGTCATTTCTTTCTTCTTCTCCCACTTTTTCACGAAATTTCCTTTTGCTTGCAAACTTAACAATGAAAGTAAAAACCAAACATATTAATTAAGATAAAAACTAAAATAAAAATAAAAATTTTAATTTAAAAATTTCGAGTTATGGCACGATCTAAACTAAGATATTATTTATAAAACTAAAATATAAATAGTGTTGGATTAGTTGTGTGAGAGATTGGTCTCTTTTCTACTTGATCTAATCATCAGGTATTTATAGCACCTTAGCAACATGGTGGGGTTTAACTAACAGCATCTTGAAAATCTTGAAAACCAACAACAACATAAAATCTACAACAAATCAATTAATTTGTTTGTGTTGCCAATTATTCTCTTAGAAGTTTGTAACAAGCAAACGATTTTATTGTCGTTATAAAAATAACCATTGAATCTTATTTAGAGAAATTTACACTAACAACTTTTAACCAATAAAATACTTATCAATATGAATGACATGTGACACCATTCTATTTTTTGCAAAAATGGATGTAAATAAAATTATTGACTTAATCAAATCTTTGGGGACGAAAAGGTAACAAAATAACTGTTGAGACTAATTTAACACAAAGGTGAAGTATTTGGACCAAAAAGAAAATGTAGTCTTCTACTATTATAGAGTAGGAATAAGGATCTCACCGACCTGTGGTCTGATGGTCCCCTTCTCCATCTCCTGATCAGCAGTCAATAACAGCGTCATGCTGCTGCTGCTGCTGCAATGGAGTTCGCCGGCAGGAGCTTTGCATCCTCCGCCTCTCTTCTTATACCCGATCTGTCATTTCCAGCTCGTATAACCAACGCAAAGAGGATTCACACCGAATCCAAATGGAAGACACAGTTGATGAAGAAAAATACAGGCACTAATGGAGTCTCCGCCGTTCCTCTTCTTACTCCCTACAAAACGGGAAACTTCATTCTTTCTCATGGGTACTTACTTTTGATTTTCTCTCTTTCAATGATATTGCGGTTTTCAGTATCTGAATCCCATTTCATTTTTAAGATGCAAAATCTGTACTCAATCTGATAAATTAATATCCGAGTTCTCATAATTTTTGAGACTTTTAACTGCATAAGTTTTTGCTTGGAATTTGGAGAATTGGGTTTCAGAATTGTGCTTGCACCCCTCTCTAGACAGAGATCTTCCTTCAAGGGAGGTCTTCTTATAGCTGAAGGAAAGGAGTGGCCTTTAATCGGTTAATTCTTTGGCCTGAAAAAGGATTACGGCCCCGTTTAGTATAGCGGTTTTGGAGTAACAGTTAAAACCACTAAATATAGGTGTTTGGTAAATTTATATATTTCGAAACGGTTACAACTAAAGTGTTTGGTAAATTTTTTATTTAGCGGTTTGAGACTAGCGGATAGCGATTATGGTCCAAATCGCTAGCGAATTGAAAAAGCTAGTTTATATAGCTTTTTGTACCAAATCACTAGTGGATTAGAATTTTTTAATTTTATTGACAAATTTATCCATTTTAATTTTTTAATTTGTGGTCACATTTTTTAATTAATAATTATCTAATAAATTTCA